CAACGCGACAAGTCTTCGGAAACCTTTGCTGGGCTACTCACCCCGCCACCTGTTACCTGCATGTCCTCCAGCGGCACTTGCTCTAAAGCTTGCCGAAGCTTACTAATGTGTAGAGCTGGAGCGCAAAAGCTCTCTAGTCCTCGTCAGTCATCATCAAAGGAAGACCGACGTCAAGGAGACCATCTCTGAGGATTTGCTGTGGCAAACTTGCCTGGCTTTTGCATTGCAGCCTTTAGCGTGGCCTGAAAGTCACATTACAACTGAAAAGGCAGGAGCTAACACCTGCAAGATGGGAGATGGCGGCGGCACAGTAGTTCCAGCCAACCTGGGTGGGGGTTGGGCGGGTCCTTGTCTGGCCGGGGCATCTCTTCTTTGACTGCAGGAAACATCTCTTTGCGCTTGCAGACGAGCATCCAAATCAGGAGCAGTAGCAAGGAGATGCCTGAAGGGGCGATCCATGCGGCCTGCGACTCAAGGCGACTCCAAAAACATCTTTCAAGGGATGAGAGAGGATGATGATCATCATGATGATGATGAATGATGAATGATGATGATGATGATGATGATGATGATGATGATGATGATTCTTCTTCTTCTTCTCCACCGGACTTGGCCCTGCCACGCACGGGAACGCCCAGTAGTGAAAGCAGACGTTGCTGAGGTCAAGCAAATGGTGTGCCTCACCCATGCCCCACCCTCATCATCCGCTTCACACAATGGTCATTTATTTTATCTTGCTTTGGCAACGGGTACTGCAGAACTCTGTATGTCCCCCTGCCCTGCCCCAGTCTATGTTATCTTACATTCCCTGTTTGTTGCCCAAAAACGTTTGGGGTCCTCTCCTCAGAGGAAAAGAAACATGCGGCAGCGGCTGGATGGGCTGCGAGGCTGCGCGCAGCGCAGACCTGTGGCACGTGGCACAGCCTGTAGGCCTGAGTGGGCCTGCAGAAGAGTGCGGCAGCTAGATGGGTGGCACACGGCAGGGACGGACCTGCAGGCCCACAGTGGCCTGCGGTCATGAGGTTGTTTCGAATCATAACTGAACAGGTGGCGCGCGGCGCGGACCTGTGGGCTCGCGATTGGCCGCTGCAGTGGGCCCGTGGAAGAAAAGAAAAATGCGGTGGCTGGAGGCATGCGGCGCGGACCTGTGGGCCTGTGGTGGTCCCGCAGTTATGAGTTCTGTTTGGAAAGGTACCAATTCCTGGCTGCTCTTGACCGAAAGCCACGTACACTGGCACCTGGGCCTGGGCCTGAGTTCAAACAGGAAAGTTCGGGGTTCTTTCAGACTCGGCAGCTAGCTGGCCGGCTGGGGGCCCATCGGCAGCGGCTGGATTGGCGGCACGCGGATCGGAGCTGTGGGCTGATGGCGCCTGGATCGGGGGCTGAATGGGCGGAGCCAGCTTGCCAGCTCAAGGCCAGGCTCCAGATGCATCCATCCTTACCCTTCAACCCTACACCCCAAACCCAAAAACTTGCCAGGTTAAAGCGCGGGATCAAAATCCTTCCAGTTTGTCTACCGGAACCTTTGCATTAAACCCCCAAACCTACAAGACTCAAAACACCTTGAGCTGCAGCAGTGTTTTGCAATGCTGGTGTTCTTTGCCCGGGGCCTGAAACCCAGAAAAGGAAAGTCCAGCCGCCAACGCATTTAAATGGCATGTGGATCTGTAGATGTTTTCCGTAGTTCTTGAATTGCTGCTGTGCTTTCTTCGCATTCCAAGCGGATAAGTCGGAAAAAGCACTGAACGCCAACTAAACTCTCATCTGCATGTTTTCCATTCATGCTGTTTGGGGTCTTCGCCGGCATTGATCACAAGATTCTGGCTGGCCACCAGTATAAGCACGAAAGCAAGGTAGTCAAGCGGACTCTTGCACTAGTGTGATCTCGCCGCCTGGATCTAAGTCTGACGCGGCTTAGAACATGCAGAGAGAGTCGCAGCCATTCATTGGACTATCGTACGATTCATTCTTAGGGTGGCTCCAAGCACATGACTCGGCATGTTTCTGAATTGAATGCAGCATGCTGAACTGAATGTGTGTGTGAGCTTCCCATAAGCAATCGGATATATATATATAT